GTGTTTTTTGCTTTTGAGCAATGCTTTCAGACAATTCAAGATTTCTTGCTCAGACATTCTTCTTTAATCTTTTTCTTTTCTTTATCAACATTGGCTCGTTCCAAGATGATAAGTTGTTCAAAATCAGAGATTTGCTTTAAAAGCATTTTAGCATTCAGCTCCAACGAGTTAATCTTATTCTCAAAAGAAATTCGTTCAGTATCAAGTCTTTTCTCAACTTCTATTAACCTTTTCTTCTCTTTCTCCAAAACTTTCCTCTCATCAATCAAACTCTTCTCAGTTTCCAAAAACTTATCTTTCTCTTGTTTCAGTAATTTCCTTACATCAATCAATTCACTTTCAGATTTACGAAATTTCTCAATTAGTTCCTCAACTTCTTTATGATTATTTCCTTGAAGGTTCCTCTCAGCATTCAGTTCCGACTCAGCTTTACGAAGTTTATTAACTAAATATTGTTTTATCTTGTTTGAACTTCTTATTTCATCCTCTAACTCTTTCCTTTCAGCATCCAAAGTTTTCTCAAGTTTGCTAATCTAGAACTTGGAATCATTTTCAACTTGTTATATAGCTTCTTTATGTTCCCTTAGTAAATCTTTAACAAGTTCTTCATTTGAATGATTTTAATAAAACATGTGTATATATTTGTCTTTATAGATCTGCAGATTTATCTCCAATTCACAGATCTTTTCTTTCAGCTTCTTGCTCTCCTTCTCAAAGAATGATGCCATTAAAATTCAAAGATTGATCAAAAGAATCTATACAGTATTCGAAATCAGACAAAGAAATCACAATCCAAAAATATCACACAGATAAAATCAATAATCGCAAAAATTTCTTAGAAAGAATCAAAAACTGCTCAGATTTGAAAAAATCAGTGAAAACAGTCAAAAACAGTAAAACAGTCAAAAACTGTTAAAATTGTTCAAAACAGTTCACAAAAATAGAAAATCAGCTCAAAAACAGTTAAACTGCTCAAATCACAGAAATTTTGATGAAAATCTGATAAAAAATGGTGAAATCCATATAAAACTGATCAAAATGAAGAAAATCTGAAATCTAGATAAAAATGGTTTTGAAAATATCAACTTTTGGCAAATGAATGTTCAAAATTGGATGAAGTGATGTAAGAGGATGCCAAAATCGGATAAAACTTGAAAATATACTAAGTATGGAACTCAAAATCGGATGAAGCTTGAAAAACTAAGTCTTTTGGCCGAGAGACTCAAATCTGGGTGAAGGAGGTGATCGAGGTAGGTCTAAATCGGTTGAAGGGGTGTGCGAGCTAAGTCTAATCCTTGTGAAGGGTTGTCCGAGGATTGACTGTATCCGAGTGATGCACGCAACTAAGTATAAACCTCGGACAAGGCAGTGTCCAGGTTAGTTTGAATACGGACAAAGTTGAGCGAGATAAACTTAAATCGTGTGAAGGGGTTACCGAGGAAAGGTTAAATCGGTCAAGGTTGTTACACAAGGAAGGTCAAGTCCGGGTGAAGGGGTGTTCGGATAAAACTTTGATCTCGGCTAAGGTTTGAGCGAGGAAGGAATCTGGGTAAGGCTGTTGAGCGATGAAAACTTGAATCCGGCTAGGATATTGACCGAGTTATACCAAATCTGGACAAAAGGGTGTCTGGTTTACACTTGAAAAACGGCTAAGTCTAAAGAATCCGACTGCATGGTGAGCAATTTAAAACCTAATCCTATCAAGACTATGTGCGATTTAAACCTAAATCCGGTCACTTTGAGCAATTTAAGACTTGAAATATGCTAAGTCATGAAATCCGATTAAGCTATGAACGATTTAGGCTCATCAAAAACACACAAAAAAAAAAAAAAACACAACTTTTTCACCAAAATATGGATCAAAATCAGACTTTTTATGAATTTTTTTCAAGAACACCAAACTTTCAAAAATCACAAAAAATAACATATCTCGAAAACGGATGATCAAATCAAGGAATTTTGTGAATAACAAAGATTCACAAATCTATTACGCATACATTGATCATCATTTTAACATCAAATCACCAAAAATTGAAAGATCTGAGAAGAAATTTTAAGTAAAGTGAAGAACACTTTCAAGAACACTTTTGGAAAAAGATGAACAAAATATGAAATTCCAGAAATTTTCAACTTTTGGATGTTTTCTTCAAATCGATTTCACTGTATTTGGCTCTGTAACCAATTGTGTGTCCCACAACGTGATCAATCTTCAATTATCAACATGAATCTATGACAATCTTCATAAAGAACATCAAGAACACTAAGAAGGTCTAGACAGAAAAAGTCAATTGGTCAAGTCAAGTATATTTCCTCTTAATTTACGTATTACAAATGAGCTCCCTTCTCTCTACAATTCACTACAAGACAAAACCTATTTATAGGTCAAACTATAAAGCTCTAGTCAAAGTCAACAATGACTTACAAAGTCAAACACTCTAAAATTACAATAGTAAGCCTTTTAAGACGAATATAATTTAACACTAAAATTCAATCATAACACTTACCCAATAAGTTTCTATTTACGTCTCTAATAGGGCATTGATCCTTAAAGAAATGAACATCATAGTCCTTCACTATCGATTGTCCAATACTCAATAAGTTGTGTTTGAGTGTCGGCACGTAATAAACATCACTTATTCTTTTAACACCCATGTGGGTGTTCACGTCAATATCTCCTTTCCCTTGATTTTAATGTTTTATTTTTTTATCTCAGTTGATGTTATAATATGGTTTTATGTGGTTCTTGATAGAGTGATATTGTTTTATGTTTGAATAAAATATAAATATGAAGATATCATAAAAGATTGAAATAAAGATATTGATATTAGTATTAAACTAACTATTTAAAATTTCATTTTTTATATATTTATTTAATTCATTTTTTATTTTTAAT